ACATTACCAAGTTCTTTCTCACAACAGCTCTGAGAGGTTTTACCCTTCATTTCTAGAATATGAAGACCAGAAGTGGTTATATGACTAACTTACTAAACCACACAGAAGACACGTCAGTTGTGCGTCTAAAACTCAAACCCAGACCTCTTGACTGCCTGGACCAGTGAGACCTGGTAGAATGCCAAGGAATTACTAAAAATAAAGGCGAATATAAATACGTTATTTATATTCTCCAGTCCCACCTCCCCAGCGGGCAGCAGCCGGCCTCTAGAGCAAGGCCGTGGGGCGTAAACTTCCTCATCTTTCCTCTCTCTGTCCAAACAGACACTGTGTCTCCACACCCAGTCTTCTTCACTTACTCTTGTGCATCGCTGAATCAGAAACGTAAAACCTGGACGTTAACTGTGAAACACTTTAGTCTAACTACCTCGGATTTAAGAAGAGAACACCAAAGACTTTGTGAAGTCATGCATGTGTTAAAAGACACGTGGCCCATTTAGCTGTCCTCGTGTAATCATCTCTCCTAGACAGCCTTCCCACGGGCTTTTCCATTCTCTGTCTGTCAGGTTGAGCCTTTACTCACCTTGGTTCGTGTTGACTTCCCGAACCCTGATGCCCGCAGCAATACTCATTCTATTCGTAGTAATACTCTTGTGTCCTTTACCTTTTCTGAGAACTTTTGTCTACCTTCCACTGTAGCAGAAGCAGCCTGATACTCTTACTAGTGTGTCATGTTCCTAGAAACCTTCTCAAGTCACTGGCGTGCGTGGCTGGCTTACGACGAGGAAGGAAGCCTCCCAGGAGACCCACGGGGAGAGTTGTATAAGCCCCTCGCTCAGTCCCTCCTTGTGTTGCCCAGAGAGCAGAACTGGAGGTTGGGATTTTCAGTCTTATCTAAACTAGCTCAAGAAATGCACTCCATACCTGGAGACTGTCTGTGAGCCCTCCCCCTCCGCTGGGCTGGCTGCCCGGTGGGAGAACTGGGCTGGTTGTTGGAGGTCAGCCACCTGAGGGGTAATTTCTTTGAGCACTGATCTCACCTCTGTGATCTCATCTCTCTGACCGGTTTTACAATAACTCACAATTGGAATTGCAATTGCTGATGTGATTCAGGGCCTTGGGGGCACTTGGTCATTTCCTCTGAGTTGGTCCATCTTCCCGCAGAAGCACCTCCTCTGGGGATGGAGGGCCCTAGAGCTTGACAACTTCCCTTCTCTTTTTTCCCTTCTCCTCCCCTCCCTACCTCTATCAGATTGAGTTCATGGTTAAACTCTGCTACCTGGTGGATTTAGTCCTGAATTGGAAATTAAGGGCGAACATCTTGGACTCTTGCTCATTTCCTTTGTGAACATTAGCAAATTAGTCTGCTTTTCTGTGATCCTTAACCAGCTCTGACAAAGGAAGTGATTATATATTGAGTTTTTTAAGATGATAAGAAAACTAAAACATGTTAGAGTGAACTAAGATCATGTTAATAAGTGCCTACCATTTAATTCTTTTCCATTCTTGTTTGTTTTTTGAATCTGTAGAACATTAACATGCTTCCAAAAGTCAAACTTCTTCTAAAATGTGTATGCCAAGGGGTATCTCTCCCTCTCAGATCCCTTCTCTGTGCCCTTTGTGTAACTTTCTGCATAAGTTTCTAGTTTCTCCCTCTCTTCCTCTCTCAGCAGAAATTAACATGTTTTCTTATTTTCTCTTTTTTGTACACAAAAGATAGTATACTGTGTGTGCTATGTTAGACTTTGCCTTTTTCATTTAATGATATATCCAGGAAATGGCTCTGTATGAGTTCAGAAAGATAGTCCTCATTCTTGTTTTCACAGCTGCATAGTATTCCACTGTATACTTGTACCACAGTTTACTCAACCAATCTCCAATTTAGGGGCATTTAGGTAGTTTACAAATTATTTCTGCAGTTATGAATAATGTTGCCATCATTTTGTCATGTTGGAAGCATATCAAATGTGTACGTGTTTTTGTCATGTTGGAGATGTATCTTCAGGTTAGATCCTTAGAAGTGGGATTATTGGGTCAAAAGTTATAGACATTTTCCTATGTAGGAGCTGTACTATTTGGAATTCCCTTTAGCAGTGGATAAGTACTGGTTTTCTTATAGCCTCCCCAGCAGAGTGTATGGTCAAGCTTTTGAATCTTTGCTAATGTGATGGGTGAGAAATGGTATCTCAATATGTAGTTTTAATTTGCGTTCCGCCTGTTACGAAGTTGAACATTTTCTCCTACTTTAATGTCTGTCTTTCTGTCTGTTTTTTTGTGAAATGTCTGTACTTGTCTTTTGTCCATTTTTTTCTCTTTATAATATTTTTTCTTTTCCCTTAAATTAAAAAATAATTCTTTATATAATCTACATGTAGACATTGTATTAAAACATGTATATAAACATATACATAAAATCTATATAATAGTATTAAAGAGATTAGCCATTTATCTGTCTTACATAGTTGCAAATATTTTCTCCTAATTTGTCATCTGCCTTTCAGCTTTGCTTATAGTGTTTTGCCATGGAAAAGTTTAAAACAAAATTTATGTAGTCAATTTTTTTTCTTAAAAATTGGATGGTTAGAAAGCCTTTTTCTGCACCCATGTTACGGAGTGATACCTATTGTTTATTGAGAGTGTGTAAAAGTTACTGAGTGAAGGACTTCTCGCATATTAATTGTTGAAAGAGACAGGTGGACCTTGGCAGGTGCCTACCTTCAGTCCCTGCCAGCCGTATGACCTTGCACATGGGTGTATTCTGAGTTCCAGTCTCTTCATCTCTAGAAAGGGAACAACAGTAGCTTCCACCTCATAGAGTTGTGAGAGTCACTTGAGTTCGTAGTGGAGAAGGGCTATGACCAGTTCCTGACACATAATGTTGGATACAGGTTGGCTATTTAAGTTTGTGCCATGATATTTCAGTTTTAAATGTAAAGATGATAACCCAACACCCCATTCTTCAAATTAAGAAAATTCTGTCACCACCTAAATGCTGCTTACATTTCTTTTACCACCGGTCTTATAGATCCACCATGAAACAGAGTCTTGTTTTTTGTCCATTTTGTCTCATTATAGCGTAAGTCAGATACTCAGATCTGCGGCTTCTGGTACAAAGGCCGAAGGAGAAAAGTTTGGGACATGGCAAGAGCAGATGCACTGTAATTTTAAACTATTAATGCTCATGTTTTGTTAGTCAAATATGAATAATTAATTACAGTTATTGGTGCCTCTAAAATGTGGTATTCATACAGTAAATTTTTTTGTTGTTGTTACTAGAGTTTATTAGGGATTGAATTCAACATTTTACAAATACTCATGGTGCCAGGTGCTCCGTGGCTGGGCTGCAGGGTGCATTCTGTGTGCGCTCACCTCCTGTGGTAGAATCCTGTAGTTTGCAGGAAGAATTCTTGGTGATCAGAGAATCATTGATAAAGCCTTGAGTTGGAGATGTTTTTTGCTCCTGCTTATGCTTGCTTTTTAATGATAAAATTAAATTTAATTTCATTTTATTTTCATTTCATTTTTAGCAGGTTAGTTTGTTGAGATTGTCTGGTGAATCTTTCAGTCTTTGGCCTGTGACTTCCCAGTCACTGGACTTTGAGATCTGCATGCATTGCTTTGCAAATATGAAGCATCTGCTTTTATTAAAGCAGATACAGGTGCCTTAACCCCCTCCCCAATTTAGTTCTGTAGTGAGATTTCATTACCACCACCATGTTCCTTTTTTTATAGTGAGAACTTAGAGTTGATGTTTGAGCAGACGAGTTAGTTTTTGGGTTTACCTCAGTTGGCCATAACCAAAAAATCCTAGAGCCATTGTCTTAGATTATTCAGCAACTTTCTCCTCTTTATTGCTCTCCTAAGAATAGGAAGTATTTTTACTTCCTGTTTTAGCCTTAAAATTTAATTATGATACTATAGCTAGCATTTTTCTTAGGTAGCATTTGAAACCATTGTAGTTAACTCTACAGAGTTAAGTACTCTGCCTTTAATTTACTTGCTTTGGAATGGTTAGAGTAGTTGTCTATATTGTATTTGTCTGAATTTATTCTAATTTGGGGATATTGCAGTTCTTATTTTATGCATTCTGTCTGAAAAGTCTTATTAATGTTTTTAATCTCCCACAGCACATAATATAGAAAATACTCAATATTAGTTGACTTGATGTCTTTTTTCTTTCCCATTCTCTGCCCATGTTTCCCCATATGAAGTCATGATCAGAAGCTTCCATTCATTGCAAGTTGATACATTAATTGTCTATTTTGATGTCTTCAGGTTACCAGAGAGAACTTCTCTATCAGAGGGAAGATGACTCTTTCAGTGCTTTTGGGGATGATGACCCTTCTGGGACACGTGGTAAGTGTTTTTGCTAATGGAACAAATCCATGGCACAGAACGGGTTCTCACTAGGTCACAATGGCCATGAAATTGACAGATGTGTCTGTGTATCAACTTGGAAGCTGCTTTTCCCATACCCTGGCTTTAAAAGAGATTCTCCTTTTAAAAAATGGTTTTAAAACCCTAATAAATCAGATGTTTTTATTTAAAGAAGGTAAGTCATAAATCTTTTTTGGTGGGAAAAGCTGCAATATAATACTTTATGATGATAGCGCAGCTGGCAAGAAAAATTGGTTAGAAATACAGGGTGATTGTGACATAGTTCTTTTTTAAATCAGACACAGTCAACACAAACTTTGTGTTAATTCAGTGTAGTTTCTTTAAGGTTATTTTTTGTGAAAAACACAGTGATGGGATTAAGTCATGAACATCCAGAGTTTTCTCCAGCATGAAATCTCTGTGTGGCTGATTTTGGATGATTAGTTTCCTTGTACTATCTTCAGTTTCATTTTTCACTCAGAAAAGGACTAATTGTATCAGTCTACATCTCAGTAGTTTATTATCCGCAAGTTTCTCTTGTGCTCCTGCTGCATTTGCATTGTGTGTTGTCAGCAGGGGGCGCGGCAGTCTTTGTTTCAGCCACCGTCTCACCATCTCACCAGATGCTCCAGGCTTGTCAGCCTGGGGACCGAAGGCTGGCGTATCCAGCGCTGGCAATTAGAAGCTTCAGCCTCGATGTAATATTTACCACTTTACTGTGATCAGAGCTGGTCCCATGGCCGTGTGTAACTTCAAGAGGGCAAGAAAGTCCCATGGACTCAGAGTGGGAGAGAACTGCATAATGTTGCATATTAGTAATATTCACCACACTCAGTCTTTTACAGTGTGAAACAGATCTGCTTCACATTTTCTTTTGGCACGAGTCAGGCTATAGATCCTTAAATAGAATGGATATAGATCCAGAAATAGGTCTCAGGGTTTTATTGTGTGATGTTCTTTGTGCCTCAGTATAGAGTGTTCGTAGCAGAGATTGGCACAGTTTTTCTGTAAATGTCAGATAGTGAATATGTTAGGCACTGCAGGCCACATAGAGTCTGATGCATATTCTTCCCCCTCCCTTCCACTCTCTCTCTCTCTTTCCTTCTCTCTTTGAAAACCATTCTTGGGTGTAGGGTTGGGGGTTGGGGAGGGGAAGGCACATATAAACACACGGTGGGCTGTGTTTGGCCCACAGGCTGGAATGTGCTGATTCCTGTCCTATAGGAGAAAAAAATATCCAATTCCTCTACTTCAAAGTATGACAGTTTGATTGTGAACTATATATACTTCATCCACTGCTTTAGGGTTGAACAAAGTATGTAATGAGATCTTCTTGGTAAATACCGGGAATAGTCCAAAGATAAATAACTTTGGACAATTTATTTAACTCTTTCTGAGTATCCAATTCTCAACCTATAAAATAATGAGGCAGGCTTAGATGGTTTCTGCGTTCTTTTCCAACTCTGATACTTTGTGAGTTTCCTGGCCATTGTAAGTGGAAACCACGCCCACTGGCCCAGCTGAGTTGTTTACTTTGTTGTCTCTTTTCCCTTTGTTCTTTCTTCAGGGATTTGCCAATACATATTTTATCATTGGGAAGTTAACTTCTTAGGGGACAGAAAATTCTTCCAAATTTCAGTTGTGAAGGATTGTTTTATTTCTAAAATATTATGGAGCAGTTATAATGTCTGCTAATTTAGTAAAAAAAAAAAAGTACACCCACACTCTAAAAAAGTGTCTGAAGTGGGCATGGATGTCTGGGTGAAAACAAGTGAGCATGGAAAGTTATGCTCATGAGCTTAATTTTGCCTCGGAGCTGTCCCAGTGATTGACGCCTTTACTGTTTCACGCAGACTGCAAATGATCAAAAACAGCCGTTCTCTATATTAATTTAAGCTACTGCTGTTTTCCCAGCCCATTACTGGACATGTAGAAGATAAATTTTCAGCTGAATTTAGAGCTTCAACACCTGAGATCAAATATGAGAAGTATCCTTCTCGGGCTGTGTTTAATGCTCTCTTCTTAGTTCATGATACTCAATTGGAGAAATACTGGCAATTACTTCGTATTTTTTATTCCCTCTAAGGAATAGTGCCTATTTGCTTATAAAACCTGAAAAGTAGTGTTATTTTCAAAATGCAAGGCAGATCTTTTAATGTCTGTGATCATCAGTGGTTCCCATTGCCTAGGACAAAGTCAGGTGCTTAACGGACACTGAAATTGTTTTTTGAATGAATGTTTGAAAATGCTTTTTATTTAAAAATGTGGTAATGGGTTATTTTGAATAGTAGAATATATATATTTTTTTCTTTCCAGCCTAGTATTGATGTGCAGAAATCTGTCAACTTTTTGGAGTCTGAATTTGATAGAGGAATTCAAACAATTACACGCTGGCTCTTGTAACTTACACGCTGTCATCTGTGAGAAGCCCTAAAGCCAAGGAAGCTTTGAACATGCTGACGGGGAGAGCGGAACAAGAAGGTAACGTGGGGAGCCTTTCCTGTACTCTAGGTCATGTACGTGATGGGAGCAGGTTTTGTAAACCAGATACAAAGTGGATTTCGTACAAAGTGGATTTCATTTACATCTTTTGAAAATGAAACGTCAGAGTGGGTGTAATGTAGCCATCTGCTGCTACTCTCCCCAAGAGTTTTCCAGACAATTTTGGTCTTGGGGTGTTTCTTTCTTTTAGATATTTCTGCCCTATGTCAGTTACCCTGTGAGTTGTCTGATGTCATTTCTGGTTTGGTGGCCTTCGGCGGTCACTAAGGCCATGGGTTTTAGAGAGACTCGGGCTCAAGTTCTGGCTCTGTCATTTAGCTTTATGAGCTTCAGTTTCCCTAACTGTAAAATGGGAATAACACCTATTTTCAGGTTGCTGTGTGTATGAAATGAGATAATGTGCGAGGACTGCCATGTAGCAATTGTTCAGAAATGTGAATTAAAATGCTAATTAATTTTTATGCAATGCAAATGCTAATTAACTTTATTAATGGAAATGCAAATGCCAAAAAAATGCTGTGAGGTGGGTGTATAGTTTTGTAACAGTTTTGGGATGGGGACTGCTTATGGGCCACAACAGGACAGGTGTAGGTGTTGTTACTTCCCAAACGGCCTCTGTGGTCAGAGATCCCGGGTTGTGTGTGTGTGTGTGTTGAGGGGGGAATGGGTGGGCAGAAATAATTTTAGGTAATGTCGACTGATTCACAGCTCTTATAATTCAAGAAACGGTAACTGGAAGATATTTAGAGGCTTCTGAGACTGTAAGAAGTATTGCCTTGTTACTAGCAGTAATTTAGATTAAATCCTCAGTACCCAGTGCAGTGCTGGAGATGAGAAGATGATTGCACAGCAGCTGAAGTAGGCCTTGGCATTTCTGCTTCTCTGCTTGGCTGAGTGGTAGTTATTTCACATTCCACCCAAGTGTAGTCATCTTCTAAGTAGTAATATTTGAGAGAGAGGAGGGTGTACGGACTGGGATGTCCCTCGGGGGGCTAGCAGGAATATCTCTAGGAAGCTCGTAGAGTTGCCCAGGGTTCCTCATTTTTTTCCTGGGGTCTTGGATTTTGAATGTATAACACCAACTTTCATTTAATGAAAAAAAGAAAGAGACTTTCCCAGAACATTAGAGCTGGTTAACGACAGACTCCCAGAACAGGATTCTTTTCCAGTATGTCCTAAAATATTTTGGGTATGGTTCTGGAATACTAGTTTTTTTTTTTAATTTTTAATTATTGGTTTTGGGTTTTCCGTTTA